GTAATTGAGTGGCACAGGAGTAGGAGTAGCTCAAGCTGGTGCCGACAGGGAGGGACCCAGAACAAAGGAATTCCTGGTGTTTCATATACCCTTACATTCCATTCACCCAGCCATCACACGCTGTTATGTGCCTTGCACATGCCTCTTGGTTCGGTGGTGAATTTTGGTTTGGGGTCTCCTCATCCCTCACTGGGTTCTTTCCTTATCTTGAGGCCAGCTGTAAATTCCTTCTTATCTCTCTCTTGTTTCTTGCTCCTTGCTGACTGGATGCAATGCCTTTATCTTCCAATTTGCACTGGTCTCAAGGTGTTTGTTTGCATAACTAAGCGCAGGTTGTAAATTAAGTTCAGCTTTATCTAAGTGGGAGTTAGTTGCCTATGGCCTAAGGCTGCAGCAACTTCACCTTCCCATGCTTAGCCACTTCTTGTGCTAGTTACTGCAGTTAGAGGAATTCACCTAGCTAAACTTAGTTCACAACAACTATAATACAGATTACATGGTTGTTAAATTTAAAAGCATTCGCTGCTTTTGGAAGGAATCCACTGACCTGTGACTGTTTCTCATTGAAATATAGATGTTAAAGTGTTAATTAAATAGATGCACACATTTATGTTATGCTAGCATCTAGAAATCTTGCACTTCGGAGCTCAAAGTCATCACTCTCTGAAGAATTCATAATTTAAGATAATCATAGATACATGTGATAGGTCTTTGCTTTAGAGACGAAATGTGTGCATATATATATATATACACACACATATATATGCATATATATATATAGGGTTTGTTGCCAGAAATCAGTTTTAACGTGGGTGTCACAGGAAAGAACCTGGACCTATTCCATCTGCTTGAGGAAGAGGTGCTTGCTTTGTGTTACTATGTAAGAAACGTGATACCAAGGAGGACAGCTACTTGTAGTAAGGAAAGAGCCCTAATGCTGGAGGGAAACCAGCTTTAGAGTTCACCCTATGCCAGATTGTTCCCTCACGAAAGAAGTGTATCTGAAGATGGACAAAAGAATAATATCTGTTATCTTGTCTGCCTAATATGGGAAAAATATGCTCCAGTGGGAGGGAGAGAGAAAAAATGAGGAAAAAAGTTAAGTGAGAATAACTATGGAGATCTCCAAGAGAGAGAATTCAGGAGAAAAGTCAAAAAAAGACCTTTGTATGCCTTGGTGCACTCAGTTTACTTTATCTGAGTTATGTGGAATTTTTTTAAGACACTTGGGAAGGAAAAGGAAAACCCACAGAAACTCAAAACATCATGCAGTTCTTCTGCTTTTCTGAAATAAATATCTAAATAATTCTGACATGTAATTGATACATGAGTTCATTATTTCGAGTTTCCTCCTTATCTGCAAGCAAACAGTATTCAGAGGAAGTTGGGCATCAGCATAAATTCCATGTAAAGTCATTCTATATGACTGATAGCTTTGAATAAAAAAAGTAAAATTCAGAACCAGATCCCCCTGTCCCCCCATCCCATAGTCTCTCAGTATAAATAAACAGTATTTTCTTTGAAGTTAGAAGAGGTTCCTGGTAGTTCTTGTCACCCTTCAGAAATGCTTGAGTTTCACAAAACTGTACATTTGACCCTCTGTGGAGAAAATAACTTTTCTCTGAAGCTTTATACTTGTGCTGATAAATTAAGGGTGACTGTAGCTGAGGGGTTACCCCAAGTATCAGGCCTCTGTTTGTGTTTATGTCAGAGCAGATTTAATTTGAACAGATTCTACAGGTTGAGTGGAATGTTTCTGCAGTTAAAGGTGCCCTAACTGTGTTTTGGATAGAAAGAACAAGAGAACAAATCAGTAACTGAACTGCATGAATTTAGCTTGCTTTCTATTTTTGTTTCTCTTAGAGTTACATAAGAGTATTGAAAGCAGATTCCCTTCTCCCTCCCCCCCCCCAATAATGTTCTGACGTTACAATAACCTTGTCGTTTATTTCTTTACATGGAATCATATAAGAATAGAAAAGAGTTTTTTAATGTCTCCTCAAACTTGCTATTGTGCTTGTGTGGTTTGACAAAAACAATAAATGAACGAGTGATTGAAATGGACAGAAAGCACAGTAGACTTTAGAATTTGTTTCCTCTGAGCAGAGTGACCCAGTGGGTGTTGTACTGTGTCATGAAGTTAACTTTTTCATTAATCAGCTCAATTCAGTTGGAGGCATTATTCTCCTATTCTCAACCTTGGTAATTAGAAGCCTCTGATTTTTATTTTTTGTTTTCCATATCTAAAAATAATTTTCAACCTATTATTTTAATTTTGAAAGAAAATGGTTCTGTTTTGATAGAAAAAAAAAACAATTTTGATAGAAAAACATCCTATTTTGATAGAGGAACATTTCTTAATTTTTTTTTTCTTCTGGCTTAACCTCTAATAATCAATATTTATAGGTCTTCCTTGCTTTGCCTGGGAGGAAGGCGAGTAGAGGGTTGCAAAGCATCGCTGGTTTGGAGAGGGAGTGGGAGCTGTTCCTAGCTCAGCCTAGCTTCTGGCTGAGATGGATTTGTAGTGGAACCACATCACAGTGTAACCTCTGGCCTGATCTAATTATCAGCATTTACTAACTTCCTCAGTAGTGGGCAAAAAGTCAGGTAACTGACAAAACCTAAAAGTAATTAAAATGTACTTCATGATTTAAGGAAGAATGTTATTCAAACAGTATGTCTCTTCCTGACCTGTAACTAGAAGTGTCACAGATTAAAATACTTGAGTCATGTGGAAGAAGATAAAAACAGTGAGTTTGCATAACCTTCTCTTTCAAAAACATTTTTGTATCAGAGGTAGCGTGGGTTTGCAGTCCAGGAAATTGTGATTCCAGTTTCCTATTGCTTTGAGCAAATAGCTAATGGTCTCTTTGCTCAGAACTGTGGCTTAGAGCTTAATTTATCTGTGATGCCTGAGACTCTTCTTCTTATGCTTTACAGTAATGCACGTTACTTGCAGCCCAGGATACGGTTGGTAAATGCTGTATCAAAAGGAGCGTGACCAGCTACTCTGCTCTTGTGAGACCTCACTTGGAGTACTGTGTGCAGTTCTGGTGTCCTCAACATAAAAAGGACATGGAATTGTTGGAACAAGTCCAGAGGAGGTCACAAGGATGATCAGGTGCTGGAGCACCTCCTGTATGAAGATAGGCTGAGAAAGTTGGGGCTGTTCAGCCTGGAGAAGAGAAGGCTGCGTGGAGACCTCATAGCAGCCTTCCAGTATCTGAAGGGGGCATATAGGGATGCTGGGGATGGACTCTTCATTAGGGGCTGTAGTGATAGGACAAGGGGTGATGGGTTAAAACTGAAACAGGGGAAGTTTAGATTGGATATAAGGAGGAAATTCTTTCCTGTGAGGGTGGTGAGGCACTGGAATGGGTTCCCTGGCAGTGTTCAAGGCTAGGCTGGACAAAGCCTTGGGTTGACATGGTTTAGTGTGAGGTGTTCCCTCCCATGGCAAGGGGGTTGGAACTGAATGATCTTAAGGTCCTTTCCAGCCCAAACTGTTCTATGATTCTATGATTTCTAGCAACACCCTTGAGGGTATTAATGTATCTGGGTGTGCTGAAAGTCAGAGTGATTTCTTCTAAATGAAATCCAGTTCACTTTGGTAAGGACCACACCAGCTCTGATCTGAGACTAATGAAGGGTTTTACTCCAGCCAGTCTTTTCTGTGGTTAACTTACTATGCTTCAGGAGAGATTGCTCTGTAGTTCTCAAGTCATCCTTATTTGAAAGAGCACTTAGTTTTAGGTTTATACTTATTTTAACTGTTAAGAATGAAATTTTTGGAACATGACATTGTAAGAAAGAAAACTCTTGACATCACTGCTTAAACACAGTCTGATGCTGACTTTTTAAATTTTATTTTAAATAGAGGCGCTATAAAATATTTTAATTTGAGAATTATAAATAGATTTTGAATTTCCAGTAGGTCCCCGTAGGTCCCAGTGTCAAAAAAACCTTGGTGAAGATAAGTGTAGCTGGGCACATGTTGTAACTTAACGATATTGGACTGTGAATCGTAGTGTGTAAATTAAACAGTGTGGAAAGCATTAGAAGTACTTAATAACGATCTTTCTAAGGGATTCCTGGATGATACTGTTGTAGCAAGTGAAGTACCTCCTTATTTTTAGAGGTTAAAGCAGTCTTTGATTGAAAGGAAGAGTAATACTAGTTCATGTCAAAGTTACATCAATGTGCTTTGAAAGGTTTCTTTCTGCAATTTATTACTGATTAAGGAGGCAAAGGCCATTTTTCTCCCCGTTTTAAAAACAAAAAACAAAGTCTCTGTAGGCAGAGGTGGGAGCAGAAATCTGAAGATATCCCAAATCTCTGCCATCCGTTTTGCTGCACAGGCTTTCCCAGTTAACTCCATGAGCTTTGCTAAACTACTAGGCGTCTGTATTTAAGCATCACAGCACGTTCTTTAGAATTGTCTGAAATATCTTGAAACTTTATACTTCACTGTTACCTCAAAAATACCATTTAAAACTGAATGGCTGTATGTAGTTTCTTGATATCCTGCGCATTTCTTCCACTTAAACTAGCATTTGTGTATTACGTTTCTTTCTTAGGGATCCAGTTTTCCTGACAGATGGATCTGTGTTTGGCTAGCTGGACATTTCCCTGGCTTAGCAGGATGGTTTTGTGACAATTTTATTTAACAGGACAAAGGACACACTTTTGAGATACATTTTTTTATTTTTAGGATGAAGTGTGGTCTGAAAGTTGCATCTGGAATGTTCTGGGCAATACCTCAGTGTTTTCACGTTGTCTTGGCATATGAATAAAAAGGTGCTTATATCTGAGAAAAACAACCCATTGTTGGTCTGAAGTGATTCTGGGTTTTTTGAATGTGTTGTTTACGTGTTCCCAGTTGAAACTGGCTGTGCTACACAGTGTATAACCTCAGGTGAAGCTTCCAAGTGTTCTTGGAAGTCAGTTTGTAAACAAACCCAGTAGATTAACCTGTATAAATTTCCCCTTTTTTCCTGCAGAGATATTACATACAGCATTTCTTTGGAAGCTGTGACAACTCTCATCGTCTTCCTCTCCTGCCAGTTATTCCGCAAAGAAATTCTGCGGGAGAGCATCATTCACAAATACCTGATGCATGGCCGATGGTACGTCGTGTTCTGGGGTGGTTCCTAACGGCAAAGCAAATGTTTCTGATCGCTTGTAGGCAGTTTGTACCTGAAAACAAATACAGTTGAATACAGTTTGGTAGAAAACTTGTTCTGCTCTAAAGAGAACAGAACACAAAAGAAAACAGAGCACAAAAGAAAGCGGAACACAAAAGAAAATGGAACACAAAACAGAACACAAAAGCAAACATTTGTAAAGGTTGTTGGAAGGTTCCAGAGCTACATCTCACAGCCCAGACTTCAGTAAAACTCCTTTGGAAGCTATTTTCATTTTTGGAGGGTTATTTCATTAACTTAAAACAGCTTTTACTTTTCAGGATGGATATTCTTGATTCAGTATGGATGTTTTCCTCTAGCACTGCAGTCTAGAGAATGTCAGAATTGCTAATGGGCCTTTCTGTGATACAAATACATAGCACCTCAAAAGACAGCAAATATGTGCTACTCAGTTGTGAGCTACAATAGTGCAAATACTTGGCAGGTAGTAAACTTGGTTGTGTGAGTAATACCACTTGTTCTGGTGAGTCAGTTGTTCTGTTTAAATGTTTTGTCATGATGCTTGCATGCATCATCCTCTTTCAACTTTAAATACCACACCGGCAGATTTTTAGTAACTATATCTATTGTCTCGTGTTCTGGAACATCTCCTAGATGTAAGAGAGGAGAACTGCTATGGGGTGATATGTAGGGAAAGGAGGAAGGGTCAGCTTTGAGTCTGTGGGCAGACTTCAGCCTGAAGTAGCAGCAGGGTAGAGGTAGAGCCTTCAATATGCACGGAGTTTGGTGGTACTTCAGTCTTCAGCTGATGGAATTGAGGGTTTGGAGCAAAAAAGTGGAATATTTGGGAGAATATGTCCTAAGGGGTCTGGGTTGGGAGTAGCAGGTACTTGGCATCTGGAGAGAGGGGTGGGAATTTGATGTCTGGGAAACTAAGGCAATGCCAAGAGTTGGAGGGCTACTAGTCAGAGGGGATTAGAGTTCATCACTGCACATCATTACAATTATATCATCATGACTGTTCACCTCTAAATTGTATGTGAATAGGAACCAACTGTTTGCTTCTGTAGAAATCCTTCTCTGTTTTGGAAATAGTGTAGCATTTTGTTTATATCAAACAATTTTTACATGCATTTGTCAAAATCACTGGTACAAGGTCAGATGTGGTGTTGATCTTTGCAAATGGACTGCAGCTTCACAAACAAACACAAAATATTGGGGTAGGTAAATGCTCGTTACCTGTTCTATGTAACCAAAGCATAGAGCAAAACCTAAACCAATATAATGTTTCTTTCCCTTGCACAAATATTTTTACAGTCGTGTTTTGAGGTAAAAGAATACAATTATCCACAAACTGATTGATTTAAAAGTACTACTGAAAAAAAGAAAACAAAAAATAGTGCTGTTAAAGGTGCCCCTGCAGAGCCCTTCTCAAGCTGGTGCAGCTTTGCGTGGGCAAGGCCTTGCCATTCTTTTCCTTTCCAGTCTGCTCAGCACTGGGAGAGCTACTGTCTGTTTTTAATGGCAAACACCATTTGCACCCTGCCTTAGCTTTGTTGTGCCAGATTTTGCAAGTTGTGAGTCACCTAAAACTATTTTCTTTTTCTTTTCAGTCTCACATATACCAGCAGACTTGTGAAAACTTTGCTATATAATTTCATTAGACAAGAAAGAAGCCCTCCTCCGGGGACCCATGTCTTTCAGCAGCAAAGTGATGGAGGAGGACTGCTTTATGGAATTGCATCTGGGGTGGCAAGTGAGTCTTATTTTCTGTAAATCATATTTCAGACCTCTTGACGTAGCGTCTTCTATGTGACATTTCTTACAACATCACCTGTAGCCAATTTTTTTTCCAGCATTTCAGTTATATCAGTGTGCCTGCTCAGTATAGAAAAGGTGTCCAGATCATAATCATATATATTTTAGCTTCCCATGTGTTAGAACCTGAAGCAATTGTATCTGCAGGACAGCATGTGATAGAATTGGCATGTAGACCCTATTCTTCTTTTATTGAGATGTTAAAAAAAAACCCCTGAACAAACAAGTAGTGCCCCGTTTGATAAATCACATCCTTCAAGTTGCTTAAAATATTGTAAGAAATACTTTTATGTGCGTATTTTGTAATTACTCAGTGGCCATGGTGACCTGCTCTGTGGCTCTGCTTGAGCAGAAGGTTGGACTAGGTGGTCTTAAGAGGTGCCGTCCAGTCTTATGGATTGTGTGATGTAAGGGAGTGACCTAGACAGGAATATTTGTAACATATTGTAGTGTGTGCCTTTCCTGGTAGGTTGACTAATGTTTTTTCCTGAATCGTATGACTAGATTCTGACCTTCTGTGGGTGGCCTGTTTGTTATAGACTGGTATCGCCTGAAGAACATGAAAGACTTGATGGCAGTTTTGCTAAGAAAACGGCGTTCTCATGTTTGTTACACCATGTTTTGGTTGATGGTTGCTCTCTTCCCCATACCAGATGCGTCTTATTGGTGTGTGTATTACACAGGAAAATTCTTCCTAAAGGTTTTTCATTTTCCATATAAGAAGGATGAATCAGTGTATTGCTAACAGTAGAGGTTTATATTACATTCTTTTTTCTGTGATAAACTAAGTAACACTTTTCAAGTCAGTTGCTGTTAAAACTGATGCTATTTATTTTGGTTTTTTTGTGAAATCCATTCACTAGCAGCATCCCTAGGGGATATTAAAAGTTCAGGCTGAGAGTGATCTGCCAGAAAGCGTTTCACAGTCTGTGTCAGTGCATGTGGATCTCCTCATGGAGGCAGTAAAAGAGCATGTGTCTGTGAGTTGGCACAGTGTAGTCTAGGTACATCCCTGCTTCTGTGTAAGATGAGGTTACACACAGCTCAGTGTGCTGCTGGAACATGCATCTTCTCTCTGATTTCCACTTTACGTGCTCAAGAGTAGGCCACTGTGGTTTGCATTGTGCCTGCACTCTAAATGCTTCAGAAAGCAGTTGCTTGGTTTGCACTTTATTTAAACATTGTGTTGTGGTCAGTGGCTCAGTGTCCAGCTGGACAGCAGTAACGAGTGGTGTCCCTCAGGGATCGGTGTTGGGACCGGTCTTGTTCAACATCTTCGTCGCTGACATGGACAGTGGGATTGAGTGTGCCCACAGGAAGTTTGCCGATGACACCAAGCTGTGTGGCTCGGTTGATACGCTGGAGGGAAGGAATGCCATCCAGAGGGACCTTGACACGCTTGTGAGGTGGGCTGATGCCAACCTGAAGGCTGAGAAAGTTGGGGCTGTTCAGCCTGGAGAAGAGAAGGCTGTGTGGAGACCTCATAGCAGCCTTCCAGTATCTGAAGGGGGCCTACAAGGATGCTGGAGGGGGACTCTTTATTAGGGACTGTAGTGACAGGACAAGGAGTAACGGGTTCAAACTTAAACAGGGGAAGTTTAGATTGGATATAAGGAGGAAGTTCTTTCCTGTTAGGGTGGTGAGGCATTGGAATGGGTTGCCCAGGGAAGTTGTGAATTCTCCATCCCTGGTGGTGTTCATGGCCAGGTTGGACAGAGCCTTGGGTGACATTTTTTAGTGCGAGGTGTTCCCTCCCATGGCATAGGGGTTGGAACTGGATGATCTTAAGGTCCTTTCCAACCCTAACAGAGAGGAAGTTAATTAAATGGTTCCCTACAACATTTTTATTCCAGAGTCCCAACAGGTACATTCTTTCCAATTGCTAGGGAAAATTGCTATTCAGATGTTTTTGTGAAGCAGTTTCAGACTGTGGTTTGTAATTTTGCTTGTGGTTGAAGAGCGATTCTCTCTGCATATTCTCATACTCACCTTGCTTCTAATCTGTCTAGTTACACTTTAGTGTCCTTCTACCTTAGTACAGCCACAGGGGAAATAGCTTTGTTTTCTCCCAGTCATCTCCGTATTTGATTTGTAGAGTCCATCCAAATTGCCACCACCCCTGCCTTCGTCTAGTGTCTCCAATATTACATGCCCTTCTTACATACTGGGTTTGCTTTTATAAGTGCAAACTCCGAAGGTTTCAGCCTACGTCTGTTCTTGTCTCTTCCTACACTTCCACCCGTTCACTCCTCTAGAACCATTCTCTTAATGTCTCCCTTGGTGTACTCCTACGCTTATTTTCTTGCTCCTTTCATGAGTACCTGAAGTACCATCTCTTCTCCCAGCTAACTGAAGATTTTCATTTAAAGCTTTAAGTAAAAGAACCTGTCTAGAGAGTTTTCTAATGATCTGCCTGGGAAAGGAGAAAAATTAAGTACCACATCCTGTTAGGAAATAGAAGTATTTTTTCTGTTTGGGCCCAAACAGTTGGTTAATGATTTAATGTATCTGACTATTTGCCTGTAAATGATGTTGCACTATAAAGGACTCCATAAGATTTCTAGGTTAAATAGCATATTTGTCCATGTATAATATCTCAGTATTAATCCTTTGCAGTCCTTTGTTTTATATGGCTTCTGATACATTGGTAGAGTGCTGTACAGATTAGAAGATGGTAACACAAACTGAGAGTCTTATTTTTTGAACAGAAGCAAGTTTAAAGCAATGAAAAAACACTTAGACATGATTTCTGTGTTGTGGGTTTGGTTTTGGTTGTTGGTTTGGTTGTTTTTTTTTTTTGTATTTTGGAATCTTTACAGGAGAAGAGTTTAAAGAACTCAAAACTCACTTTTATGTTGCTCAGACTTTAAAATACCACATAATGCTTAAAATCAGTTTACTGAGATAGTCTAAATATAATCTACTTAGGATGAAAGGGGCTAGGAGCCTGGTTTTAAAAATAATTCATTTTTCATATTAAATTCCAGCGTCTAAAATAGTAAGTGTATCTGTCAGTTTGAAATTATTTAACTTGATATGTTATATACGTTACTATGTATTATGTTACACATGTTCGGTAGTTACTTGTACAGGAGCAGATCAACAAGCTCTTATGAGCATTGTACTTTAAATCCACCCCCCCTTTCCTTCCTTGTGATTCAGCAGTTTACCCTTTCCCACAGTTAACCTTCTCCTGCTTCTCATCCTTCATATCTTGGTTTTTTTTTCCATTTACAAGCCTCCTTAACCTAGAAACTATGCATCCAACATCCTTGCATCAATTATGCCTTATTTCGGCCTTTGACTGTATGCAGGCTATCTATGTGCAAGTTTCTCCATCCTACATATCTCAGTTAGAATTGCATTGCCAATTATGTTGTTCTTCAGTAGTTAAATAAACAATTGTGGGTTCAGAAAGAGGGAGGGAAATGATAGTTTAGTTCTGTAACTTCATAAAGTTTGTTCTCCTGTACTGAGTCAACTTTGTCATTGCAGTCTTTCTGTAGGTGTGCAAGATAATTGTGCTGCTAGGTCTGGTGCTACGTTGTTGATGTGAAGGCATAAATTATTTCAGTATGCATGGTGATAGAAACGAGACTTCATATATTAGAAATTTAGTTTCCATTGCTCACAAATTACATTGAAATAGCTTCAAAAAATGGTTTGGGCTTTGGGGATTTTTTAGCTTTAAATCCCCTCCTCTTTTTTTTTGGAGTGCCGTTAGCATTTGCCAATTCATGGTCCACAGTTAACCAAGTTGAGAGAACTTTTCGTGGGCAAGCAAGATTTTTTTAATTAGCCATTTTATACCTTGCACAATAAAATTCGTGTTACAGTGAGGAACTGCCAAACAGATGATACACTAAGAAAGGAGAATGTTTGTGCTACTCAAGACTGTTGAAAAATAAGTAATTTCAAATGGTTTCATTTGAAATTGTTGATCCAGTGTATACTTTGCTGTTAAAAAGAGCGAAACACTTTAATGCAACTTGTAGTACTTAGGAGTTACTGCAGCAGTAAGATGTAATTGACTTAATTTGTGCTGTTTAGATGATTATGGATGTAATGGGTACGATGTTGTACCTGTAAGAAACTAATGAAAAGGCAGTAGCTGGATTCATCTTCATTAATCACCTAAGCAACCATCATCACTAATTTGGCCCACAAATGTACTGTCGTGGTATTCATCTAAATTGCAGAATTCAGTGTGTAGTGGTCAATTACGACTTGTTTTCTCATGTCTGTACTCTTTGGTTGGAACCAGACGAACATCTCTGGCCATTAATGACTTTGTATCATGTAAGTATGTACTTCACTCTTCATTATGTCATTCAGCATTAGTGCACTTGAAGGCATTGGATGACCTCTTTTGTACATCTGTGAGTTATCTATATTGCAGCTTATTCCTTTTATTCTTCGGTGCTATACATTGGTTAATAGGAGCACTTGCATGGTTATCTTCAACTTTACAAGAAAATTGTTTATGAATATTTGGTGTTTTGTGTTAATATCTTTTTCCTCTTCAGCCTTACAGAGTCTGATTAGTAATGTTTAGATTAAAACATGTCAAAGTAGAGACACACAAAAAGCTGCTTATGATGTGTCTATTATTCCTTATGATTCCATCAAGCTTTTTGCTACTAACAAATATTTCTGGCTGGTTGTTTCTACCTTCCACAGCCTTTTCATGATGTGTCACAGATCTGGTGTATGTTCTGCTACATTACTACAACCTTGTCTATCTCCCTGGTGCTTAGTCAATGTTTAATTGCCTGTTCATGTTCACCATAATGAAAGTGTAGATCTGAGACTTCTTTCCCAGTTTTGTCTCTTCATCTTGCTTACAGTCTGTAACAGCGTCACCCCCTTGTAATGTAATCGTGGTGCTTTGACCTGACTGAATGTGAAGATTTAGGTAATGAATAGACCTTTAACCTT